GTCACACTCTGAAGTAACAGGAGTTAGGGCTTCAACATTATCTTTTAGGGACACAATTCAACCTATCGGAAGGACGTATCTCAGCTCTTTCAGTGATATGTTGTTATACAGCTTAAAAACAGACGTCTTAACACATACCTGGTTTTACCACAGGTTTGGCTTTCAACAAGCAGTAAAATACAAAGCACCTTGCACAAAATTTATTTTCCTCCTAGATCACATATGAGGTATTGAATAGGTCTAGTGCCCACACGCCAGTCCTTGGACTGGCCATATCAAAACAGCTAAAATAACAGCAGCAGCAGTATAAAACAAAATACATTCTTGGTTCTCACTCACAGAAAATGTTTAATTAATTTTATTGGTACACTTTAGATATAATTATCACATTCATCATAGGGAATTTATACCTGTAGGTAATATATCTTGATTTTTCTTTTTTCCCCCCAATCCCCTCCCCTTCCTTCAACCCCTCTTCCCCTGTTTATTTACAAAAGCTTTGTTTCCATTATTTTCTCCTATTCTTTTTTTTTTCTTCCCTTCTTCTCCCCCATCTCAGCATTTTCCCTCCCTTACTCATAGAGATTAATTCTGAAGTACTTGGGTAGGATGAAGGTCTTTTAAACAAGATCTATAAGTGATTTTGATGTAGCTAATCTCAATTCTTAATTTTACATTGAAGGTTTCTGCTTTGAGATTTTTAACTTGTGATTTCTGCAATGCTCTCATAAATAGACTGTATTCTAGCAGTTACAGATCAAAAGTTGTCCAAAAGAAGAAAATAATTGACTCACCTAAGTATTTACTGAGTTTCTCATGTGGTAGGCATTGTTTTAGGAATAAAGAAGAATGGCGGAAGGGGATCTTGCCTCCAAGGAACTAACAATCTTTTTTTTTTTTTACCGGGAATCAAACTCACGACCTTGCGCTTGCCAGGCAGGTGCTGTGCCGCTGAGCTAAATCCCGAGCCCCTAAGGAACTAGCAATCTAATGAGGGGTCATTAATAGACAAGAAAAATAAGTATAGGATGCACTACTATGTCAGAAAATGACAAGTTCTGAAGGGACAGAGCAGGAAAGAAGGATCACGGATCTCTCAGAAACTTTCCTATGTCCTATACTCTATGACCAGAGGAATTTTCAAGAAAATGTTAGGATGTTCATTTGTAGCACACACAAGAAAGGTAACAGTAGGAGATGTTCTGTGCAAAGGGTTGACAGATTTAGCAAACAAAAATACAGGATATCTAATTAAATTAAAAACTTAATAAACAACAAATACTTTCCTGGTTGTGATATATTAAAAACATTGTTCAAAAAAATCAAGGGACTTATATATGCAGCAAATTCTTTCATTCATGAGTAAATCGGGTTGGCATCAGTGAACAGGGCAAACAGTAGAAACTCTGTGAGCGAGGGCAAAGAGAACTGATTTTAAATCTAGAAGACCACAAAAAGTATATTGGGGCAAGGGTGTAATTCAGTGATAGAGTGTTTGCCTACCATGCTCAGAGCTCTGGGTTTGATCCTCACAAAATAACAAGACAAAACCAAAAACTAAAAAACTAAACCAACAAATAAAAAAATTACAACTATATTCAGTAGCAAGGACAAATGAGTGGAAGTTCTAGAAGCAATAAAAACATTCAACATAAATACAAAGGAGTGGTGGTGTGACTCTGTGGAGTGGAAGACACCATGACAGGACAAGCCTTACTCTTCCCTAAATGTCAAACCCAGGTACCAACTGCCCACTCTACAGTTCACATAGATGTTCCATCTGAGATGAATATGCTCTTGGCCTGTGGAAAATTTAGTATATTATCTTCAAATTTCTTCTTCTCCTACTGTTTTAATCACCAGACTGGGTTCAAAGAAGGCTCCCCAAAGAGGAGATGGAGACTTCAACTTGCCCCGTGGAGGAGGTTTTTAACTGATCATCCCAGAAAAAGAATTTCAGAATGCATTAGTGTGAGGCATAGGCAAATTTGTGAGGCAGAGTTACAAATAGGAAAAAAAGAAAGGACTTCACCTTCTTCAGTTCTGATGAAGAGGGTCACACTGGATCCACTCACAGGAGAATGAGGCCAGCCCTTCTGGATTAGCTGAGGTGGGCTAGAAACAGGTTGATCCTTATCTCAGTTCTGATTTTGCAAGATAGTGTCCTTATTGTTTCTGGGGGTAAATTTGGTCTCTATGAGATGACTGTCTCAGCTTAAAGTAGTCTCAGTCTTGTGGAAGCTCTGCTGGAATGGAACATGACCTCAGCTTTAATGACCAGAGACATCTTTCTGGGCACTCAGTGGCAGCTGAATGTCCCTGTAAATCTCTTATCTTGGTGTCCTCAGCCTTGAAGGGCCATAAGATAGGTTATGTAAATTCAAGGGCTAATCAACCTTGTTTTCTCAATGTTTAGACAGACACTGATTAATATGCCCACATGCAGAGCTGAGCAAGAATGTGACCCCAAGTTTTAAGTTAATAAATGACATAGATACAAAATAAAGGTCAAGCTTTGTTCCGCTTTTAGTTAGTTACCTGTTGGACATCTGTAGGTCCAAGTGAAGAGTTACTGAATTTTAGCAAAAACTGCTTGTAAGTCCCTAACTGCCTCAGAAGAAAACAAAACTCATACTTTTAATGACTTAAATGGTTAAGGGCCCTGGTGTTTTGTTCATCCTCTATCCCTATGGTGGCGTTTGGACTGTGTCATTTTCTCATTTTCCCAATTTCCCCTTTTCTCCCAGTATGAGTCATTCTCACTTAGCACCATCGCCTTCTCCCCGCTTTGATGGGTGCTTGCACTTCTTCCTTACCTTTATCTCTTCATGTAGGCCCTATCACCTCTCTTGGCTGATGTTTTCTTGCAAATGAGTTCCTTATATATTTTAGAAATTATCCCCCTCCCTTGTAAGTTATGCAAATATCTTCTCCCAATTTGTAGACTGACTTCTGGCTGTTTCCTTTGCTATACAAAAGCTGTTTCGTTTGATGTACACCTGTTTGTCTTTGCTTTTGCTACCTGTGCTTTCAAGGTCATACCTATGAAATCATTGCAAGGGCCAGTGTCATGATGCCTTCCCCTTTTTTTAGTTTTATAGAGTCAGATCTTAATTTAACTCTTTGATCTAGTTAAGTTCAGTTCTTTTATCCATTTAGATTTCTGTGTATAGTATAAAAAGAAAGGTCCAATTTTGGCTTTTTGCATGTAAAGTTACTATAGAATAAACCCAGCTTCTTGCATACAAATCCCTTTTATAGTTAATATGGCTTGTAGAGGTGGGCAGACAGTATAATAACCCTGTCATATCCTTCAGTTCTGAAAGGTCTTACCTCTGGTCAGGCATCCAGTGGAGCAATGCCATGAGTGAGACACAGAGGATTCCCGAAACCTGCCCTGGTTCAGTCGCCTACCAGGGATGGAAGTGGGGAGGGAAATCCTGGACATTCTGCTTAGGTAACCCTATTATGATGTCTCCTGCTCAGAGCACTCTACACATGTCTATTGCTTCCCCCTGCATACTGAAACTGTTTCTTACTTGCCTGCCTTTCTAATCCATAAGACCTGTCCAATCTAAGTTGTATCTGACCATCAGCATACATCCTGCTTTTATTTATGATATAAACAAATAAACAATGATAGAAATTAGCTTAAGTTCACTATGTTTATTTGCTACAAATGTCAAAATCTCTTGCAAGGATATTGAGAAACTGAAATCTCTGAATATATCTGAGGGTGGCAGTGAGAAATGTTCCTGACTCCAGTGCTGGGTATCACACCCAGGGATTCTCACATGCCAGGCAAATACTCTACAACTGAGCTACATCTTCGGCCCAGAAAAATTTACTGTTAGTAACTGTCATTTCTTTGGTCTTACAAGGAGAACACATAGGAAGATGTCAACACTGCATTATTTTTGTTTGAGTCAGAATAGCAGCTTTTCAGAATAGGAGTGCCAGAAAGTAGGTGTGTGGTCTTCAAGTTTCACAGTGGACATTCTAAGTACTGTTTGATAGTCACTGACATTGGCTCTTTCCTGTTACTTTCCAAGGAGGGGCTCAAATTGCTTCATACCTTGACTATTTCAAGGCCCTACTGGACTGGGTATGACTTAGCTTCTTTCCATTCATATCCATCTCCCATATGCACTAAAGATTGTTCTTATAAATGGATTAATTTCACATCCTCCTCAGTAAAAACTCTCCATTGCTCTCCCCTGCTTACTAAATAAAATCTCATCCTTGGCTTTCATCATTTCCATCCAGATTCAACTTACAATTTTTTTCTATCCCAGCCAACCCCAAACCACAATAAGCAAAAGTATCAATAGCTCCCATGCAATTCTTATACATTTCCTGGCTCTGGCTCTTTGCTGTCTGAAACTGAATTTCTTGCTTCTCCTTAACTACTATACACTTTCCTTAGTTTGAGTTCCTAATTTCTCTATGAACCTCTTCTGACTTCATCACTTCTCCCTTCTCAATCTTAAGCTGCTGTGTCTTTCCCATGTACTATACTTGCCTCAGCTCCTCTATTAACGCCAGCCCTGAGTGACAGAATCATATTTTAAACTTTGTATATATTCCACTTACACTCTGCCCCCTACAGTGTTCAACACAGTTCCATCCCCAGAATATGCACTCAAAGAAAGTTTTCTTTCGATAGCTACAGATATTTTCTTTCCCTCCCTTCTCACCTTTCCCTGTCTCCTGGAGTACTGGAGAACTCAAGGAGCATTGAACTATACTCTCAGATCTTTTTATTTTAAGACAGGGTCTCACTGGGTTGCCCAGGCTAAAACTCATAATCTTCCCACCTCAGCCTCCCAGGTAGCTGAGATTACAGGTGTGTACCACTGTACCTAGTGGAACACTGTATTTTCTATAAAGTCTTTGTCTTTGAATATTACTTTACATCTACTTTTATATGCCACAAACAATGCTTAACTTGCAAAACTATTCATAACTCAAGGACCATACTTTTTTAAAAAACACAAACATTCACCTAGGAGATTTTTAATTGTTACTCCAAAATCCAGCTAAATGTTTAATTAAATATACTACAAACCTTAGAAAGAGTTGTAAAGGCTTAGTTAAAGAGATAAAACCTAACTTTAGTAGACATGGAGACAATACAGAAAGAAGCAGACTTTATTAATGTAGTGATCAAAAATATTTAAAAAGAAAAGCAACTCCAAAAAAAGAAACAAATTCAGAAAATATACTTAGTATATTGAGTGCTTCTCAAGAAAGATTACAGAAACCTTGGTTACCATCCTTAGACCATAGGCTTCTCAAAAAGAAAAAGCTACATCAAATATTCCAATTTCCAAATAACCTCAGTCGACGTTAAGGTAGTTCCAAAGCAGGTATATACCCTAAATCATAACTCAGTTGTTCCAAGTACTCATTTTATCATGATTTATATCCAGAGGTGTGCTATCCAGAGATACTGACACTACGTACAGAGAACACAAGACACAGGAGGGCATTTTCTTTTCCCTTGCCTTTGCTCTAGAACCAGGGAAAGTCTCAGTGGAAGTACCCAGGCCCCTAGAGGAATCCAGTGAACTAAGAAAATGCAAACAAACCAAGATGACAAGACTTTGGCTCTGAATAAAAACTAGCTATTTTTCCAGCATTAGGAAAATAAGGTGGTAGGTCTTCTTGTGACATGTCTAATCAGGGCATCTCTTCCAGTTCTACTGAGAACTCTGCTCCAATGTGAGAACCAAATACTGCCACCAACACAGTGCAGCTCTGCTGCCAACCTTTGAAGAGCTCAGCTCTTCAATCCAATCCATGATTCATCTGGAACCCAAGAGTCCACATATCAAGCATGGGTGCTACTCCTGGAGTAGGCTTCGAGAGATCAGCAACCTCATCACCTCATTGGTACCTGCAAGAGGGTGAAAGAAGGAAGGATTTCATAGCTGCAAAGTAGTTGAGTATTTAAACTAGAATTGATGCTTTTATTCCTGGGAGGTCTGGGACTATCACAGACTTCTCTCTAAAGTACAGAAAGATGACAATGAGAAATACTATAAAAAATACCTTTGATAAAAATGCTTGTATTTTTAAAAGGCAGACTAAAAGTAGTATAACACTAACCTAAAAAACTATAGGCTTACAAAAACAGAAAAAAAAGTATAAAAAAAGTATTGTGCTGGGGGTATAATTCAGTGATACAGTACTTGGTTGGCATGGATGTACAAAGCCCTAGGTTCAATTTCTTGCCCACAAATTTAAAAAATAAGAAGATATACCAAAATAGTAATAGTAATCAAAATAGTAATTCTGGATGTAGAAACATGAGTGATCTTTTTTCCCCACATATTTTATAAGTTTCCTTGGTAATCTGAAACTTAACCTTTAAAACAAAATATTTTCCCTTAAAGGAAAGGATCAAGGGATGAATTGTTTGCTTCACTTTTAGCAGTGGCCTGTAATGCAAAGAAAAATATAAGCCCTTTGCAGCCCACGATGAAACAAAGTGATACAGTGACTAGTGCCCCAATTCTTCTACTAGCATATGAGAGCATGACCCAAGATAAATGTATTTGGCTTCCTATTTAATATAACCAAATTAAAAAACACTGTTACAATGAAGATAGCTTCCCATAGCCACAAAATTCTAAAAAATCAATCTGAACACTAGGGATTAAAATCAATAAATATGTATTAGAGATAAGGCTGACAGTACAAAGCAGCAAAGTAAACCTTAGAATCTTATGATTTAGACATAACACCAAAGGAGTGGGGTTCAGTATATAGTTACCCCCAAACAAGCAGCAGCAGCCTCGCTTAAAAAACTATTAGAAATGCAAATTTCAGTTCCAAGTTAGGTGCACTTCCAAGCAAGGTGCAAAATCTCTGAGGGCGGGGCCCAGTAGTCTGTCTTAAATCCTCTAGGGGCTTCTGCTATGTGCAGAAGTTTGAGAAAAATGCTTTGAAAGAGGCAGGTAAGTCAATGCTCAAAGGCTTCTCCTATGTCCCCATTTATGCAGCCCCACATTGCTTCACTGAAAAGTCACTTAGAGAAGCCTCTGCCCTATCTGCTTTTCCTAAAGTGTAACAGCCCTGACTACCAACACCAGCTACCAATAACACTCCTGTCACTTCAAGACTGGCTGAAGAATGCAGAAGGCCATATTCTGAGCCTGACTCCAATGGCTTAAGCATTTTATAAGGAAATACTCATATACTGACATTTTATTTTATTGAAAATTCTGCTAGCAATATTGACATAGAAATCATTTAGATCATGGGGCTTATAATAAATCTATAGAACTGCTGGTACTCATGCTAGCTCATATTTATTTTGGAAATTACTAAATAGAACTTCTGAGATCCTTGAGGACCAGGCCCTTGATAACAATAAAGAACAGCCGCTGTTATAGTTTTCAACAGGATTTCTCATTTGCTATCTCATTTTGGACTCTCAGTTCCACAAAGAAAAAGAGCAGAAGTGGAGTAATGTGATGCCTTCCTCATGGAAACAAAGCAGAATCTGCTTGCTCCCAGGCTAGTGCTCTTTCCAGTGCTGCAACAGGCCACTTCCAAAGCAGAGGTAAGGAACGAAAGGAAACAGGAAGCCAGACAGGGTCTAATGGGACCCAAAGAACTAGCCAGCACAGGGATAAGACAAGCAAGAAAAGCAACGATCTTGGAACTGTCCTGTCAGGAAGAGAATAATCTCTGGCAAATTTTACCTTCTAGAATTTGGTGGACCCTGGAGTCCCGCATGTACTGCTGAACAGCATAATCCTTCAGATAGCCATAGCCTCCATGCATTTGTACAGCCTGGTTGCAGATCTGCAGGGAGAAAAGAATCTCTTTGATTGTGGGAAGACCATGGAGTAAGTGGATTTCCTCCCCAGCCTTGTCCCAATCTGGCATCCTGCTGTAAACTAATAGGAAGAAAAACAACCCACAGGTAACTACTTAACCCCAAAATGGGGCTCCATATTCTATATGGTCAGAGATAGTAAGGAAATTTCACCTACTGAATTTACCAGTTTCTACTACAGAAAAAACTCAGACCTTTGTCTTTCTTATTTAATCACCTGTTGGTAAGAAGTTGCCACAATCACTTTGGGTGAATTATATGAAGCTCAGGTGCCACCTAGTTTTAATGCCACCTCTGTATGGAAATGGCTTTGTGTGGAAATGGCTTTGCACCTGACCATGTAAACACAACAGTGCTAAATTTGGGCTAGAGGCATTGTTTGCTCTGAACCTTCCAAAGGTTGTATCTCATCTAGAATACAACCAGATGTCAGCGACATAACGAAGTGTGGGTAAAAACCCAGTTATGAGAGATCCCATACAGGCATCTCACAAGTTAATTAACTGGTTAAATGATGTTTTCCCCTCATGTTTTTTTGATTTTTGTTTTTCTGTTATAGGACTCGAACTCATGACCTTGCACTTGCCAGGCAGGCGCTGTGCCACTGAGCTAAATCCCCAGCCCCTTCTCATGTTTTTTTTTGTTTGTTTGTTTTGTTTTGTTTTCGATGCTGGGAGCTAGGACCCAGGGCCAAGCCACACTTCTAGCGCTTCTGAATTTATTCATATCAATAAGGCCCATGGTAACTCTTACAGCAACCCAGCAGGGCTGGGCTCCACATTCCACAGCTGACATACCTCTCCATGTTGCTGGGCCCAGGGGCCGCTCCCTGCTTATCCCAGATGGGCCAGAGGGCTTATCACTTACAGCAAAGCATTCCTCTGTAGCAAAGAGCTTGGCCATGGAGCACAGCACCACCGCATCTTCCCGCTCCTCTTGCAGAGCCACTGCTGCAGTGCGGATCATCAGCCGGGAAGCCACCAGCCTTGTGGCCATATCTGCCAACTGGAATTGCAGGTACTGCAGCAACAGGGAAGACAAGATGGAGGAGCTTAGACAGGCACTTGACCTGGAACCAAGTGATCCAACTGTTCAAAAACTCCTGCCTCCTCTACAGAGAAAACCCACTGCTTTTTACATCCATTTTGCTTGCCCTGTACTTTGACAGTATTGCCTCCTAAAAAAGATGACTGGCAAAAACAAAGCACAAGCTCCAGTTAAGATGGTGGCAGGCTCCACAAGGGATAGTGTGGCCTCTCTCTCTCCTAGACAATGTGTGCCCTTCAGCAGGTCTAAAGATTAGAGAACAAATGCAAAGACAACTGGGACCTTACCTGGTTACTGGCCAAAGGTGCTCCAAACTGCTTCCGGACATTGAGGTGGTCTCGGGTAAGGATGATTGAAGCATGAGCAGCTCCCAAGGAGCAGGAAGCTAAAGGGGAAGAATACTAAGATCTCAAGTGCACCTGAATATAGCGCTGCTGGCTCCAGCTCGCTCCCTCCATCCCTGCCCAACTCCTTCCTGTCCTCACCGACATTGATTCGTCCTCCATTCAGTCCTTTCATGGCAATGAGGAAGCCCTGTCCCTCACTTCCAATTCTGTTGGCCACAGGGACACCACAGTCTTCAAAGATTACAGCTCGGGTTGGCTGGGAGTTCCACCCCACCTGGCAAAAATCAGGGACTGGGTGGTTGCCCAACAGTACCTCTTGCAGGATAGCATTCCCTGTAGATGGAAGCCCATGAAATATGGGGTCTAGCATGCTGGGGCTTAGACCCATGAGAATATAAAGTGAAGAAAAAGAAAAAGTTCAGATTTAAAGGGTGGTCAACACTCACAAACACGCTCATTTCAACTAAACATCTTAAAACATATTAAAAGAATCTACCTGCTAATGTCTACTCTGCTAGATAATCTATGAACATTTCTCACAACTTTTTGCAGGACTGGGACAGGAGCTGTTCTCACTTTTGGTGCTTCTATGGGTATGCTCTTTAATACTACTGCTTTTACATCAATCATTTTTTCATATAAAGCATTCAACAAATTTCCTTACTTGACAAAACAGCCCTTTTACACAAGGCCTTCTATCATTTCCTAAACCTGACCCAGCCTTCTCCTATCTCCATTCCGGTAAGCTGGTCTGAGCTTGGTACCTTTACATTTTCAGGCACACTCTCTTTTGCTCTGCACTCTCCAACAGAACTTCACTTCCCCATTCTCACCACCATATAGCTTAGATGAGGCCTCCTGCCACCAGAGTTGTCCCTGAACGTGCCCTTTTTAATCTTCAGTCTCCACCACTGTTTAAAATCTTCTAACACTGACCTGTGTAGCAGTTACCTATATACTTCATTTCCCCCCAAAGAATATAAACACCTAAAGGTAAGAATCAATCAGAAAGTTCTGACCTTAAGAAGGTCTGATTATTAAAGAACAGATAACTCCTATCTCCTAACTTCTGCTCTCTAGTTCCATGCCATGCAAATATCTACCTTCTTCCCCTCTCAGAGAATTCCTCTCCTAATCCTGTCAGAAGCCCCAGAAAGCTGCAGCCAGAAAGGACAGGTGGTCCCTCTGCCTTTTGGAAGAACTTGTATACTTGGACCACTACTACTAGAGCCCAATCCTGCTGTCTGTCTTATCTCTTCTTTACTGATTATCTTGATACTCTCTAATAAAGAATCTTCACTTCCACCACTCTAATAAAACTCATTCTTCTACATAAAACCTTTAGCAATTAACTATGAGATAAAACAAGTCTTCATTATTCTTCCATGAAATCAACGCAAAACTAGAGGTTTAAAACTCTCAGAGCATAGTGTGCTCAATATGCCAAGTGAAAGCTCATTACTGTGGGAAGATTAACAAAGAACAAGGAAGGAGACAGGCCTGCTGCTCCGAACACCTCTCCACCTGCATCTCATATCATCCCTTTCTTGCTTACCACCTTCTAGCAATATCTTTTTTTTTTTTTTTTTTTTTTTTGTCACTTCTCATATAGGCTAATCTTATTCTCACCTCAGGCCCTTTGTATCTGCTTTTACTGCTGCCCAGAATTCTGAGACAGCTTCTTCTAATACTTTAGATCTCACCTCGAATGCCATGGCCTCAGAAAGCCTTGTCCTATATAAAGAAACTCCTCTTCAATCACAATCACATCACTCTGTTTAATTTCCTTCCTAACAGGTAACTCATCTATGAGATGGCTGCCTAATAAAATGTGAATTCCACAAGGTGAAGCATATCTGTCTCCCTCACTGCTGGACTGGTAATTTAGAAGAGTGCTTGCTACACAGTGGGCACATGTTAGCTGTCTAGTGAATGAAGAGATATTCTTCCAAAGTTCCCCTACATTTAAAAATATATAAAGCAAAACTAATAAAAACAAAAACAGAAGAAAGAAAAAAATATACATATGTATGCTTAAAGGTGAAGATAGTAAACAAGGAGACCTACAATATACTTTTTGTTTACTTAAAACATTTGCAATTTCTTCTACACTCTCAACTTGTTCTGTCAAGAGACAGCAGAAATACTGAGTGGATGCTACTTAGGTGAGTTAAAATAAAATAACCGTCACTCCCCATAAAAAGAAATACCTGCACCAGTATAACTTGATTGTAAAACTGTGCCAGGCTACAAAAGTCAGTTTTGTGTGTCTTTTGTTGTTACCCAAAACAAATATTTCTACGATTAAAAAATCCAAATCTGCTACTGGCCACTGAGCACCTATACTGTTTTATGAAATAGGCTTCACATACTCTATAGTCTGCCTTTGGAGCAGTTGCTTCTATTCTGATTTTCAACAGGAGCATATAAAATAGACTAGGACATTGTTTAAAAAGCACCAAGCTTCAGGGGAAAGGGACACAGTTTGCCAGGAAGTACAAGCTGCCTATTAAGTTTTGTCATCTCTCTTACATCTACCCTTGCCCTGCATTTCTTAAGTAGCTGTGGTTTTGCTGAACTTTCTCTCAAGAAGGGATAGCTATAGAAAGTCTGATACTGACCAGAAGACTTAGCAATGAAAAGCATAGAGGTGACATTTCTTTAAAAATAAAGTAAAACTCATTAAGGGGATTGTGGATATTTCAGTAATCTAAGGACAGTGTTTCCACAGGTACTCTTATACGGCACATATGAGCTTTCCCTATATCACAGAGTTTATATAGATAAAATATCATGTTTTACAATCTAAAACACCGCTTTGGGTGACTAATAATTCTGCATCTTCATGGGCTGAGAGGTGTAGTTCAATGGCAGAACACTTGCCTAGCAAGCACAAGGTCCTGAGTTTGATCCTCAGCATCATAAAAAAAATAGTATTTTTGTTCCCTGGGGTTAGTAAAAGACTGCCCACAGTAGGTACCTGTAAGTGCCTATTAGTACCTCATAAATGCCTGTTATATTACAAAAGTGGGGCTACAACTCATAACTCCTTGGTGGTTACAAAGCGTTAGGAAGGATAATGAAAGAAAATATAGAAACACTAGGAGATATGAGAAAGAGGTATATTTGAGGGTCACTTTATTACCTGACTTTTCCCCAAAAGTCCTAATAACAACAGTACTAACTGGAGGTAGACTGTTTTGATCACCTAGTCCAAAAAATCTGAATGAGTCTTAGCCTTACTACTGACATCAGTCACATTACTACAAATCTAGGAATCATAATCCTAGAAATGCCTTATTTTTCAGAATACCAATGGAAACACTGTCCTTAGATTACTGAAATATCCACAATCCCCTCAATGAGTTTTATTTTATTTTTAGAGAAAAGTCATCTCTATGCTTTTCATTGCTAAGTCTTCCAATTAATATCAGACTTTCTATAGCTATCTCTTCTTGAGAGAAAGTTCAGCCAAACCACAGCTACTTAAGAAATGCAGGGCAAGAGCAGATGTAAGAGAGATGACAAAACTTAATAGGCAGCTTGTACAGGTTCCTGGCAAACTCTGTCTCTTTCCCCAAAAGCTTGGTGCTTTTTTAACAATGTCCTAGTCTATTTTATATGCTCCTGTTGAAAATCAGAATTGAAGCAACTGCTCCAAAGACAGATTACAAAGTATGTGAAGCCTATTTCATGAAACAGTGTAGGTGCTCAGAGGCTGGTGGAACAGACTTATAGCTTAAACTGCTTCTTATCCCACAGCCACTCACCTTTTTCTCCTTCTTGCCAAAGCTGAGGCCAGGAGTCCCCTTCTCAACAACTATGCAGGAAATGCCTTTGGGGCCTGGTCCTCCAGTTCGGCACATGACCACGTAGATGTCTGATTCACCACCACCACTGATGAAGGCCTGTGTTAGAGACCGGGGTGGGGTGCACGGATGTTAAGGACCATGTGAGTTCTGACCATAACTTCTGAGAAAATGCTTGAGTTCCCCCAACAATAAGACACACAGGGTACAACACAGAAACTGAGGGGGATAGCAGGTAACTGCAGTGACTAAAGAACAAGGAGTTAGTTGCTAAGAATATAAAACAGGGAGGGATAAAATTATCTGGAATCAATCAGAAGAGATAAACAGTAAGGTGATATAGGGAAATGGGTCAAGAGGTTCTCTTCCTGACACATACAAACCTATAGGAATATTAACTCATAGACTCAAGGGATCAGGGGATGTCAGCAGCAAGGAGGGAACAACATCCAATTTGCTCTGAGAAGACAGTATGCTGGTACCTTGGAGCCATTGAGGATGTAATGATCTCCTTGTCGTTTAGCAGAGGTCAAAAGAGAGGCAGCATCACTCCCACTTCCTGAGGCAGGGATCAAAAGAGACTGAAGAAGCCAGTGACATTAAAGGAACCCAACATGGTTCCATCCCCTAGGAAATCTTAATGACAAAGGAAAGCATGTACTACTTTAAAATCCAAATGGCTTAAGGAATTCTCTGTACTCTGTGAAAACTGAGTACAAACTTACTCCAAGCAAATCACTGTTGCTTTCCCAACACACCACCTTGCAGTGAGTTGCTTATGAGGAAATTTGGTTTGTGGCCACGACAGACCATGAGATTTCTGAGTCCAGTGGCATGAGGTTATGAGATTCTCATTACTCCATGACCAAACTGCTCGCAAAACAGTGTCTCTGTGTGTCAATTAGCAGAAAGGAGAGCTCAGTGGCTACACCTGAGTTATACCACTCTCCTTATTAGATCTCACCTGCAGGATGGCAAACGCACCTGGTTCAGTAAGGCAGTAAGAGGCAAACTTCTCCATGGTACAAAGTGGTGGGCAAAATTTGTGCCTCTGTTCCTCAGTTCCAAAGCGATCAATTATCCAGGCACACATGCTGATTGGGCCACCAAGAAGGAAAGATATTGACACAGATAAAGAGAGAAAAGGAAATGGGGAGTGGTAGGGAAAGAGAATAAAGGACAGCAAAATACAGTAAAGCAGAGAGAGAATGAGAAGGGGAAAGTCACATTTGAGAAGATTCAACTTTAAAGGAAAGGACTGGATTAAAACATATGCCTGGAACATGTAATATCCAGACATAACTAGGACCAAAGTATTTCTCACCTGGACTCTGATACTATTTGTAATTAGATTAAATGAATACCTAAAAAATCAATTAGATGTATTTTCTCAAATTACTAGACCTTTCACTTGTGGATTAAGGGAAGGGGTGATAGGACTCTGACTATTCTTCTGGAGAAGTCTGACCAACTTGATTCTCTAAGCAATGTACAAGACAGTAAAATCAAGTCCACATGCTATTATCAGTCTAGTTCCTCAAGGGTTCCTAGTTCCTTAAGGAACTAGGGCAACCCACCCAACATGATTAGCCTTTTCCTTATGAATCCGAAATGTCCCAGTCAACCCATGTGGGCACTACTTTGTACTGTTCCAGCTTTGGCACTCACTTGTGAATGCTTATGTAGGCTGTAGTGCTTGTACAGCCTGTAGCCAAGGCTTCAAAGATGACAGAGGTATCAAGCCGTGACAGTCCAGATCCACCAACATCCGTTTGAATATAGACTCCCCCAAAGCCTAGCTGGGCTGCCTTTCGCATCATTTCCACAGGGAATAGTTCCTATATGCAAAAAGGGCAGCAGAGTCATTAGTAACTATTTCAGAGATGGACTCTCCTTTACAGAATACAATGCAAGGGCCAGGGTATCTGCAATTAGAAAAGCAGAGAGATTCTCTTATTAAAGTTTTTATCATCTCATTTTTTTCCTTTTTACAGGTTTTATTACACTGGTTTTAAGTATGTCCAAATCTTTGTTCACTTAAAAAGAAAAAAGGTATCTTAAAAGATGATCAAGATTCCTTCTATGAAAGGAATTGCCTATTACCAGTTCTCTTACTTATAGTTAAGTGTTGGGAAGACGAGAATAGATACTGAGCAATTATGATTATACAGAGATGACTGTAAGGGTCACCTTGTGCAACATTTGTTGGGACATCTAGCCAGAAGGAAAACTCTTACCTTCTGGTCCCACTCTGCCATATTTGGAGCCATCTCCCGGGCAGCAAAGTCAAAAGCCACTTTTTGAAATTCTTTCTGTTCTTCATTTAGTCCCATGGAAGCTGTGGGCAGGATTGTATATGCTCAAATCTACAACAGGTGTCAGAAAAGAGTACCACCAATAAGAAGTACCATGAAGCTCAGACAGTGGACCAATTGTAGCATTTCCCATACATAGTAGGGCCTTTAGCAGCCAGAGTACAGCATCATCCATCATTAAGCAGTTTCTCTGGTGGGAAAGGGATAATACTTAGTGACTTCTGAGACATCTCTTCACCACTTAGAGAAATACAGTTGTAGTCCTAAATAGGCAGAGGTAACAGTGAAAAAAATGGGGAGAAACAGGATCAGAGTGGGAAAAGCAGGATGGATACTAGTGGCATAAACACAGAATTTAGTTCATATACCTTTCTCAAAGACTGCATTGAGTAAGACAGAACTGAATTGGAAAGCACAACTGTCAAATAGTTAAGGCCTAAAATATTTTCACATTTTGCAAGATAACTCAAATTCCTAGATATACACAGAAACTAAAAGCTAAAAGACTCCTCTGCTAAAGTGACCTTTTGGACTCGCATGTTTAGAAAAGAAAAGATTGGGAAGTTTGGGAACCAGCACAAGGCAATAGAACCAGAAATTTGCAAAGGCGCAATGAGACCTACTTTATTAGCAATTATTTCTTTTGTCGTGAAAGAACCACCTACTTCAAGTATGCTAAGAAAAACTAAAAGGAGAACATGCCTATACTTGAAGATACAATGAAAACTTGTAGTACAGTGGTGGCTGGGAAAATGAAAGGGGCAAGAGGACTTAAGGGCTTGATATTACTTTTTTTGTGGAAGTGGACACCATCATGTTTCAAGATATATAAAAATTGTGAAATGATTACTAAAATCAAACTAATTAACACAAACATCACCTATATATGTAACACCAATTCTTAATTTCCTCTAGTAGGAATATTTTATAATAGCACAAGTCAAAAAAACACAAAAAGAAAACTGTGCTTAGCATCTCATGCCCAGAGAAAGAACAAAACACATAAATGAACACCATTCCAGATGATTCCTTGATTATTTCTACATATCAATGTCTTTTTTTTTTTTTTTT